CCGAGAACAACGGTCAATAATCGAACCTTCCAAGCGGTAGCTCGATAGGAGACGTTCCTTAATGGGAAGCCTGGTAAGGCAACAGAACCACTGCTTCTGTTTGAAGTCGAACTCTATTTAGCTTCTTGCCTGCGTCGTCGAACTATTCGAAACTATCGGCTTCGTTGGACTATTGTTCGCTCGAACTTTCAGAGCGAAGCTCCTCCTGAAACGAGTTCTGGGAACGTAGATCGTCAGGGTAAGGCGGCTATCTACAGGCAACTCTCAAGAATCAATTCTTGGGAGCGCGGGTCACACGTTCTGACAGAAAACCGTCAATAGAAGCGGATTATAAAAGGATCCCTTGCTCCATATAGGCTACCACAATCCCACTGGTCATTGGCGGCATCGGATCAGTAATGCTCGCTTCTCGAAGGGAAGATCTGTAAGCGACCGCCGATCTTTGCCAACTCCTGCTCGGCGGTTCATAGTTTAACTGGTTGGTGCACGGAAAGATTTTTCCTTTTCATGACCTCAATGGAAAAAACCGACACATCACGAGTTAACCGAGCTAAGGAGCTCTTCACTCTTCAGCCGTAGGATGTGTAAACCTTAAAAGACTACATTGCAGGCGGCAGAACAGAGCCTGGCGTGTCCGTCAAAGGGATGGCGGATGCAAGAAGGCGACATCCGGCGGGCCGTCGGGTGACCAGCTCCTCCGTCAGTGGTTGAAATTGGATTAACTCATTACCATTGCATTATTGCGACCGGGAAGATGTATCGTAGCAAGGGTGAAGGCGTAAGACTGATGAGTCTGAGAGGGAGATACACTTACACAAGAGAGGACCACTTGAGTACGTAGATTCGGATCCGTGTGCCCCACTCATCTTTTTCTTTTTTCTTTCCTTTCTCTTTCTCTTCCTCTCTCTCTCTCTCTCTCTCCACTCACCATGCCTTCATTTTCAAACGGAAAGTGAAAACGACATTGTTCGCTAATGCTGGAACTCGGATCCGGATTGCGGACGAGACTGGGTTGGAAAAGGAAAGAAAATCTATCCAATCAGACTAAATTTCCGTCGATCCCTTGTTCCTGAAGACACCGCCGGATAAGAATAGAAATCATAATGAGGTTGTGTTCAACTATCGTAGCCACGGTGCTCGCACGGACAAGGATGGGGGAAGCTGAGCCAGATCCTTGGAACGACGGCGGTCTAGAAAGGTCGCCGCTAGGCTCTAGCAAGTAGTAGTACCAAGAACCAGCATTCCCGACGGTGGTCAATCAATCGCAATTGATTGCGTCCCCACCGCGTCAGCCTCTCTCGCCTTGCGGAGTCTGGGGGGTCAAGTTTTCTTTTCTGCTACAGGCTGGCTGAAAACTACAGCCCCTGGTAGGCATGCAAAGCATGTTGACAGAACAGTTCCGTCTCCTGTCTGTGTGTTGGTACCTGATCCAAGTCCCGGAGCCCTGGTTTTGCAAACGCCTCCCCCGAAGGAAGGGGGTGAAGAACGAGAAAAGAGTAGGCCAACAGAATGTAGAATGTCGCTGCATGAAACCGCCGATTGTCCCGTATAATTATATCATGCAAATCAGTCCGTGGTACTTTTCATCCTAACTGCAAGGACGCCCAATTGCCCACGGCTGTGAAATAAGCGGTGTGATGGTAAGGGCACCTGTCCTATCTAAAAGGACGTCCTTTGTTAGTCCGTGGCGGCGATGGTATCTTAGCAGTGCCGGTAAAAAGGACGGGACTCGTTGAAAGCAGTCGAGGTTACTCGTCCATTCAGATTGCAACACGATGCTCTGTACTAGTGTCACTTGCCAGTACAAAGTATATCCGTCCAGGAAGCACTCTAAACTAAATTAGACTCTTCCACGACCACCCCCCCAAGACTGGGCCTAGTGGAGCGAAGCAGGTACGTCATGATTATTATTGCAGGCGGTGACATGCGAACGGGATATTGACAGATGCATGCTACATACCAGAGCAGAAGCAATAGAGTCGACTACTATGCGTCCCGCAGGCATAATCTGCTGGTTCGGATCAATTTAACCAGTAGTGATTCCTCTCTGAAAAGTGAAAGACAATCGGAAAAATCAAAGTCACTGTCAGCCGTACTTACGGCACTGGATAAAAAAGTAAGGCAGACTTGTCAATGATTATGCAAACCAACGAATCTACATGGGTTGTGCAGTTGGTTGGTGTGTGGAACAGAATTCACACTCACTTCGTGTATGATAAAGACACATTGGCAGCAGGTCGGCTGGTACTCGGTAGGCTGATAAGGCGCGGCACATATCCTTTCTACCTCATGAGGACTTTCCGCAGGTAGTAGTACTTAATCTACTAGACCTACAGCAGACCAATAGTATGGCTTGTTCAGGTGTCACAATAGGCACTTTTATGTATTATGTCCCACTCGAATACACCTATAAAGGCATGCTCGTGTCGTGGGGACTGGCTCGATGTAGTTATTCCGACTCACCGACATGGCAGATATGACCCCTTTCCTCCTCCCTTACTCCCACGGTGCCACTGTCAAACGGATGGGAAAGGCAGAGACGAGTGCACTTTTCATCCAGGAGGGAGAAGACGGATGATCACGGGGGATATCCACTTCCTCCAATCATCTCATGAGAGGAGTCACATCTCCTATACTCAAAGCTGCCACCTACCTTTCAGGGATGGACAAATTGATAGTAGCAATAGGTAATTGCCGATTCAACAGCGTAGAATGTATGCTATTATCTGTCACGTCTTCATGGATAGGAAAGTACTTCTCCATGCAGTAACTGACTCGAGCCATAAGACAGTGGAACTTCATCGGCTGGTTTAGAAGCATCAGACAATAGATTACTGTATTGTCTATGTAAGTAGTACGCAGTACGCACCCAATACGTAAGGTACAAGGATGATGGGTTAAGCATTGAGCACAAGCATATCAAAAAGAGAACATGATTATCAATGAGCCTATACACTTGCCAGAAGAACAGGACTCAACGTAGACATTGTGCCACTTGCAAGACAAACAAGGGAAATTTCGACGAAGGAGAAATCCCTCAACTAATATCTTTCCATTCCCGACAAGACTGGACGACCACGGGCTTGAGAAGAGTAATCAAACAAAGACTGGCACATGAGGCCGAGTCCCATGGTACACAACCCAGGCAATGAAGGGCCGGATCATGTAATCAAACTCTGTGCCCTTTTGCATTTCCCCTTTCTTCCCTTGTGTCAAACGATCTAGAAGAAATTTTCTTCTCTAGAACGTCTCCTGATCCGAAGACTGATAAGGCGCTAGCATGCCTCGCAGCGGATAGGTCTCTCCCTTCACCATATAGCCATTCCTTCTGCCTCACTAAATGCAGACTGCGGGAAAGCCGGCCACTAATCGGTGGGATCGGCAGTAAATGGTGATCTAGATAGTAGATAGATCTTCAAATTTTGCCAGTCCTATTCCCCCTGGGGCTGTTATCTTTGTTTACATACAGGGAAAGCTAGGATGTGGCCACAAGATGGATCAAATGCCGACTTTTCTCGAACTATTCAAGCGAATGAATGAGTTTACTAGTTGGTTATCTATCAACTCTAATCTGCTTCGTCATCTAAGCAGTAAGCACATTAACTAAGCCGTCTCTCAAAGATCTAAGACCTGGACTAGACCGCCGGCTAGTGTCCGTCCTCCGTAGCGAACAGGTCGTAGTAGTAAGTAGTTAGTGCTAATCAGCGGCCAGGAGTTTCAGGTATTGACAATACCGTACACAGCGAATCTTTCCTTTGATGGAGCTTTCCGCAAAGCCAGAACCTTTCGGATGTACAGGCCCATTTTTTCGGGCCTGAGTGGGAGGGGGGAGGGGGAATGAGACTGAATGGGCATCAGACATTGAGACCCTCTTTTCGCTTACCCTTTTTACTGCTCTTTTACCTTTCCTCATTCAATGTCTTTTGTACGATCCATTCGTCTTGAGGTTTTCTCGGCTAGCTTGGGTTGGTTTTATTACTTAGTTATGTCGTCTTGAAGAATCATTGCTTTATTGCACATCCATAGTTAGCAGTAGAATGCATCCGTGGGTGGCTCCAGCTTTCCGATTGTCCCTCTTCTCTCTCTTCTTGTTCCTCTTTCCCTCCCCCCCTCCTCTGCCTCCTCCAATTAATTTATTTGTTCGCCGGCCCCTAATCCACCTTCTCCGCACCCACACCCAAAACTGTCGCAGCTACTAATTAATACCCAATTTAGTATGGAGTAATTCTTAGTAGGAGGGCCATCGTAAGTAACTTACCCTGCTAAAACTAGATCGAAAAAAATAAAACAATTAAGAAATAAAAAAAGGATAAAAAAAAATCAAAACGGAAAAACCAAATAAAAATAAAAATAAGTAGAAACACGGACACTTTCAAACAGGGCTGCTGGTTGTTGGCCCACCTGCAGCCCTTCTCAATCGACAGGACCATCAGGCCGATTCTGGGCTCGTCGCCCATGATTTCTATTTGATGAGTATCATGTTGCTACTGACCCTACCTGTTCGTCATCCCCGTTCTTTTCCCTGCTCTTTCTTTCTCTCTTTCTTTCTTCCTTCCTTCTTTTTCCCTCGTCTTATTATTATTATTATTATATTATTTACTGCAGTTTTACCCTGTCACTTTGACCTCAGCAAACCCCTCCTCCGACCCGCTTGTAACGGACCTTTTTCGCTTTCCCCCCTCCTACTCCTCCTCACTCCCCTGTTAGACGCCGTGCAAACATTCGTCCCGCCCGTCTTACTTGGGCCTGTCATCAGGGTTCCCTTTTCCTTCTTTCCGCCTGTGCTGTGTCATTGTTCCTCTTAGTCGTCGTTGTCCTTCCCAACGGAATTTACCTTTCCACCCTACCTTGTTCACATCACACCCTCCCCTGGAACCTTGTCCCGATAATCATCCATCGGGCTTCGGTTTCCTTCGCCTCTTTTCCATTTGGAGGGGTTGGTCAATAGTGGGACAATTCCTCCAGTCCTTAGCAGACGGGTCGAGGATCGTCCCCCACTGCTGGCTTGGTGATCACATTTGATCTCAAATATGACGCCGTGCTCGGGTGGTACTACCCGGTGACGATTGTGCCTTGTAGTTCTGGCCGGTTAACCTGCAATAGCATCTGTGACCTACCAGCTGTGAACAACGCATCGCAAGATTAGCACCCTTGAACTGGAGCAATCACAGCCAACCAATCTGCTGGGTACTTCCTTTTCCCTTTTCATTCTTTTTCTAATTCCCCATCATTATGATTTCTTCGAGAAAGACACAAAGGAGCATCCCGCTGATTCTCTGCCTGAAGAATGCAAGATGTCCGAGGGTGATGTCGAGCACGTTTCTGGCCTCTTTGACGGCAGTCCCCGTCAGTTCCAGCGCCTATCCTCCCAAAGCACCACCGACTATTTCTATGACGCCCTGTCGAATGGCTCTCGCGAAGACCATCTAGCCGCCCTGTCCTCCACTCCTGTTCCTCTGTCCGGTAAAGCGTATCCCACTCAGCCGGGTCTCACAAGCCTGCAACCTTTCCCTACACCTACCAGCATACCCCCCGCAGGTCATCCCAACAGTTACGATCGCTCTTCTCCTGATCCAGACGACTATTATCGCCCACACCTGCCCACCGTGGCCGCAAACGACGAGCAAGATCTCGACCTGAGCGGCGGTCATCCCATGGTGGAAGTGGGCAGCGACGCAGCCGCAGATAACCACCCCCCGAAACCTTTCCAACGTGTCTCTTCAGTACCGATACACTTGCTCGAATCCACGAATACTAGTTTGGGCCAGTATCGTTCCGCTTCCGATTCATCATACAAAGGCGTTGGGCACGAACCTGCCTGGGGATCATCGGTGCGGGCCTCGGCGGCGAGATCGGGGCAGACATCCTTCAAAGATCTTATCAACAAATTCAACAACAACGTCGACCAAGTCCTTCCCGTTCCTTCCACATCCTCAGTCCGGTCGCGGGTAACCTCGAGAGCTGCCAGCCCGACCAGTCCTACCCAGTATTCTTCGCAATCTAGAGCCCTCCCTCGCCAGCGCGAAACACCCAACCTTTCGTCGAGGCCACAGTCTGGCCACTGGCAACCTAGGAGTGTATTCGACACAGAGTCCTCGTCAGACCTTCTTGCAGATTCACTCAGGACGGCTAGCATTGATGACAATCATTCGAGTAACTTCGCTTCATCAGACGCGATCCCTCGACGACCTACCCTTGGCGAACCGCTTCGAATTGACACGAGTCCGCAGATTCCTGGATATGGAACTTCGTCGACGGTACGGCGGCGAGGTTCTGACGGGATCATTCCTAGCCCGAATCCAGCTTTCCTAGACCCTTTCGATCTGTCGGCTGGTGTGACGCCGCTGACACCCACTGCGTGGTACCTAGGACGCACACCATTTTTGGAGTCCATCAGTACAGGGTCAAATACAAACACTCACCGGAGGACGAAGAGTGATATTCCTGGAAATTGGTCGGTCGACGTGGGAGCGAACCCTCCCGACTCCCACATGGCGGTCCCGGCCCCCTTGCAGGCCAATTCCCAAGCATGCCCAGACAACAGCCCACATACCCCAAAATCACGCATTCCGATTTCATCCCACCGCTTGAACTCGCCTTCCGTTTCAGACGAGTCTCCTCCCCCTTCAAGAGCCGGCACTCATTCCGGAAACCGTCCTGCCGTTCAAGTCCATCTGCCACCAAAAGGCACCAGCCGCCTTCCCAAACCCTCGCCCAAATCCCCGCGTGATATGCCGAAAAATGATCAACTACCAGGTTATGCTGCATCACCACGCGCAAAGCGGGAAATGGCTCATGGTCGGTCGCGCCAGCAGCTTCCTGAAAGAAATGCGCTATTAGAAGCCTACATTGCCGCTCCTCCCCCGAAAAAGTCACCCCCTCTACGCAGCTCCCGACCACGCCAGCCTATAGCACATACTCAATCGTCTCGTTCGAAAGTCGTCGAAACGGTATCAAACTTTCAGAGGCAGATCAACCGCGATCGGGAATACAGGAACTCCAGGGCGCGCGAACGAAGATTGCCGGAGCTCGGCCATGTCGACTTCGCGACTAGGCGACAGAAGATACAACAGGCTTTCAACCGTACCGTCGAGGAGAATGAGCGAAAAGAGGAGAAAGCTGCTGAACTCAGACGTCAAGCAAATGCCCAGGAAGACAAGCTTGAATTCGCTCGCGCATCCACCCCTGAACCACCGCAACCCACGGAGAGTCAAGTACAGCCTTCTCCCCACGCCGAGGATAGCGCGACCGTCATTGAGGAGGCAGCAGAAGCCCCGACTGAGGAGGTAGACCAGGTACCCGAAACGAAGGACTCTCGGCCACTTCCCGAGCTCCATGTCGACACGGACATCCCTACTACACTGGAGAATGTAGACGGTGCTTCTGATGCACACCTAATGACCATGGATTCCCCAACTCTGGGACACGCAGCGATAATAGAAAGGGACTTGACATATGAGCCCAAGTCTCACGCTCCCCCCGCGTCTGATGTTACCTCGGAGTCTAACGAGACCCATGTGACTGCTTTCGATACCGAGCCCCAAGTTGAGCTGTCACGACAAGACCTACATACTTCTCACAGGACTCTGTTGAGTCAGATCATGAACATTCGCGAGTCCAGTCCAAGCAGCTCGTCATGCGATGAGCAGGAGTGTAGCTTCTCCGAGAACGATGAGAGGGATGCGTTGCCTACGAGGTTAAGAAACGCTTTCGCTTTCGATGATCAAGCAGACAGCAGCGATAACCCGGAGTCATGTGATATTTACATGCGACATGGTCCGATGAACGGCGAGACATCTAACCGTTGGAGCATGAGTTCTTGGTCTTCATCCCTTCGCAATCAGCACTCCGTCGACGAGCAATGCGACAACAGTGGAGATGACTTCTCCCAGCTACAACAGCGCACTGAGGACAGTGAGGTCGCGACCCAGTCCTGCTCTGCATCTTCTAGCACCCCGTCAATAACCGATCATCAAATACTGCGCTCCGCATCTCCAAAGAAGGGAAGCGCGAATGATGGGAGACAAGAAGCGATATCTCACCCAAATGGCTTTGCATTCTCTAACGCTTCCAGCTTAGCAAGACTAGGTGGCTGGGATTCGAAGAGGGTTGGACAACTCTATCTGCAGGAGCTGGCAAATGGCAGGAGTCATGAGCTTCCGTTGCCAGCAATCCGCGCCTCTCCGGAGCCATCACAGACATACTCGGACAAGAAGGCAGATCAGGGATCCGACAGTCTAACTGGTGACCCGGTTGTTGTATCTCGTATACGGGACCCTCCTGCTTTGGAACGGCCGGGACATACAGCAAGTCTAGTTTTGCGTGACGACTGGGAGCATGCCTCCCCTTCGATCATGGACTGGATGCAAGTGGCTGCTGCTGAGGATGAGTCTGCTTTGCAGGCACAAAATGGCGACACAGGTCCTGTACATGATAGTGCTACAACTCCCCGGCTGGTTACCCCGAATCATCAAAGTTCCTGTTCAGAAGAGGCCGATGAAGGATTAGGTCTGGCTATCAAGGTGCACCAGCCTCAAGAGCTTGACTCCCACGAGAAGCAGTTGCCGTCGGTCCCTGAGCCACCAGACGAAGACATACAGACCTTGAATGTCGCCCCGCAACAGCGAATGCAACCGCCTTCAAATGTCAATGTTACAGAGCAACGCCTAAGTACTATCATATCTGGCATCTTTGCGCCATTGGATCCTGTTCAAAGCACCGGTAGTAGCGAGGATTCCTCTCTTCGCAGGCTGGACCCTATACCGTCTCCCCAAACATTCGACTCGTCTTCCACATCGCTGGTCCCTTCAACATCAGAGCCATCCCGTCTAAAAGCACAATCTCCATCTCCAGAGCAACGTCGTCTTAAAAAGCGCCGGCATGTGATCAAGGAACTTGTCGATACAGAGTACACTTTCGGACGAGACATGAAAGTCGTCGACGATATCTACAAAGGAACCTCGAGTTCTTGTTTAGATCTTTCCTCGGAGGACGTCAAGATTCTATTTGCGAATTCCGATCAGGTCGTGCAATTCTCGATGGCGTTCCAAGATGCACTGAAGGAGGCAGCTAAGAGCGTTTACGTGATGCCCAAGTCCCAACGCTGGAGTAGCAAGCGTAGTGCCCGCCATCACGCTTCTAGGACTGATTCCGAGAATTCGAGCACGGCGGGCATATCCGACCTGGACAAAGATAAGATGACATACATTGGTCAAGCCTTCATGAATCAAATGAGCTACATGGAGAAGGTCTATGCGGATTATTTGAAAAATCATGATGCTGCTAATAAGAAGCTCCAGACACTGCAGCGCAACCCTAAGGTTGCTATCTGGCTCAAAGAGTGCCGAGACTGGGCTTCAGACCTAACGACAGCGTGGGACTTGGATTCTCTCCTGGTGAAGCCAGTGCAAAGAATTCTGAAATATCCCCTTCTGTTGGCCGAACTGCTCGACTCCACGCCCGACGACCATCCCGACCACCCGGCACTTGTCAATGCCCTAGAGGAAGTCACTAATATCTCTGTGCGTATCAACGAGATGAAGAAACGGGCAGACCTGGTGGGGCAGGTGGTCGGCCGCAAACGCAAAGAGTCCGATGTGAGGGCGGGCCTGTCCAAGGCTTTCGGTCGACGTACCGAGAAGTTGAGGCAGCAGGTCGGCCTCTCTGACATGGTCGAGGACAAGGAATACGATACACTGGCCCAGAAGTTTGGAGACAACTTCTTCCAATTGCAACTTGTCATGCGCGACGCCGAAATGTATACACGCGAGGTGCAGACCTCCATGGACGGATTCAATGAATTCGTTGAGGCGATCCAAGGTTTCGTCAATGTTTCGCCATCTAACTATGCAGAGTTGGAAGGAAGGTGGCGTGAGTTGAAGACCACTGTTGCGGAGATAATGACTGTGGCGTTGCCTGAACACGTAAGTGGAGCGTCCCAGGTTCTTACCCCTTTGGTAGTGCTTTCATAGCTAATTCGTGAATATCATACAGATTGCGGTTGTCCGAAAGAGTGTCATTGACCCGATGGTCACGTTGCTCAAGCTCCACGATGGTCCTCAACGAGTAATGAGAAAGCGCGATAAGCGCCTCATGGACTATGCCCGCTTCAAAGGCGCGAAAGAGCGGGGTGACAAGCCTGATAAGAAGACTACCGAACAAGGAGAGCAATTTGTGGCGCTCAACGAGACCCTTAAGGATGAGCTTCCAAAGCTCTACGCCCTGACTGCCAAATTGATGGAGGCGTGTCTCAAAAACTTCGTGCACATACAGACTACTTGGTTCCGGCAACTACAGCACAAGCTTGGTTCTCTATTCGAGTCATTCCCGGAAGACATCCAGAAGATCGTGGAAGACTGGTCCTGCAATTTCAACTTCTCTGAATCGCAGGTCCTATCACTGGGCATCTGCAATGGCTCCCTACTTGCTGATACTGTCAACCTTGTCAACTTCAACACGCCTTCAACAGGAGCCACCATCAGCTCGCCGCGGCGGCCTTCTACGGTCAATAGTGTTAGTACACGCGTGGGATCGACAATGGAGGATTCGCCCAAGGTGTCTCAAGAGTTTGGCAATGGCAGTCATTCGTTCCACTCGCCCAACTTTGATACTCAATCTCAGGTATCCACTGGCCGCCACCGGGCAGATTCCACCTTTTCGGGCCGTACGGGGCATGAGACGGCCGAAATCCCACGAAGTCAGATGCTGCAGCAGATCACTAGCGCTTCAACCGCGTCTGTGCCAGCTTCGACCTCCACCACCGAGGCATTCCCAAGCCTACCCCGGCTCAGTCTCGACTCACCCTTCCTGGTGGACGTTATTGGTCCTTCGAGTGATGGGAACGATGGCGCAAAGGCCGAGGAGCTTCCCATGTCTCCTGATGGACGGTACTCGGGATTCTTCTCATCAGCGATGCCAATGTCAGACAACCCGCAGGATAACGCACCAACTCATAACGAACCTCCCCATGAGCCAGCGGTCCTCTTCCTCGCGGCAAGCATCTATGAGTTCAATATCGACCGCGCACGACGCGAGGCTGGCTATCCTTACCTGACGTATGTGGTCGGTGAGATTTTTGATGTCATTGCGGAGAAAGGAGAGCTCTGGCTAGCCAAAAATCAGGACGACCCTACCCATCAGGTTGGATGGATTTGGAATAAGCACTTTGCAAAGCTTTCAGCCTGAGATGCAATTTGCAATCAACGTCCTTTATCATTATATTTCCCACGTGGAAATTTCTGACAACGTGCGCCACAATTTTGGCAGGGGCCTAGGCCCCCAACGAGCTCTGTTTACCAGCTCATCACCCTCTGTTTTTGGCCCATGTTGACCTGGCGTCTTCTACGGCGCGCTACCTAGCATTTGCCTTATAATCTGTTGTTTCTTTGTTTGCTTACGTTCAGCGGGTCGGGTAGGATATAGTGTTGGCGAACTATCTGGTTTATCTGATTTGATGTTATGTTAAATGTTGAATCACCGGACTGACTGGATGAAAGATCGGTGACCATGTGTGCTCCAGGAGAGTTTGATATTACTTTCCTGACCATTGTTGCGTCGGAGGAAAGATGTTAAGATGTACTTTTAGATACCCCTTGCTTGAAGTGAATGAATTGCTTAGCGTGTGCCTCTTACAATATTATTTTTAAATATATATAACCCATGTTTACCCAACAATCTATGCATCTTCGATATCCTTTAAGAGTGGAATAGAAAATAGGCTATCGTAACAGGGCTGAACCACGTGAGCGCACCGCCACAGGTGACGTCTGGCGGCGCCTTCCCCAGAGTGGCTGAGAATGGCTGATGAGGATCGCCGGCCGACGAGGAACTTGCAACCTTCGCTCGTCGGCCATCGTCTCTATCTCCCCCAGTTCGTCAATTACTGGAACTAGCATCATCTCCCTTGCTCCGATTTTTTACCCTTCGCAGTTGACCCCCGACGTCCTGCCGTATGTGATCCAAGCACCACAGCCGGGGATCGTATCGACCAGCCGATTCCCACCTGTCTCTATTGATCCTCCGCCCACGGAGACCCACGGACCAGGCAGACGAATACCAACATCCCCTGCCTAGGCCTTCGTCTACCCATTCGTCTTGCGGGCTGTCGCAATCACCCAAGGATACCTATATATAGCCTTTCTCGAGCCCTGTCTCCCGCCTTGTTGGTTGTGATCGGAACCTTATTCCTCGACACTTCGGAACCTCGGTGGACGAGCAATTAGATCGACGGCAAAAGCGACCAGTATAATTTGCTTGGAGTGAAAACGATGCGTGACGGCGGCCTGGGAAAGTTACAAAGGAGGATGAGACGATTTGGCGACACTGTAGGTCAACGGGAGTTCTCTGTCCCTCGTCCTTTGCCCTTCACATGTGCGGGGTCTTGTCGGCTTGGGAAACAGACTAAACGTGGCGTAGTTGAACCCAGATGATGCGTATCTAAGTTGTAAGTTCTCTCGCTTTCTTCCCACACTACATGTTGAGAGATGTAGATGGATATTAATGGTTTGAGTTTGATAGATCATGATGTCCGATGTACGTTACTCTGTCAGAAGAAAACGACTCCTTGATCCCGGTCTCTAACAAACGGATACAGTAACACGAGGGGACATGCAGTCGCTGAAGAATGACTGGCTGACCGATAATGTTCGTGAGATGCTACTATTGATCTACTCTACCGTTACATGGGATGCTAACAATCGAATCATGATCATAGGTCATCTCTTTCTGGGAGGAGTAAGTTACCTGCCTACCTGAAAAGTTTCCGTCCATGGGGCTCACTGGATCAACAATGGTAGATACCTTGAACACGAATTTCTCGTCCAATATAGGTCCTCCAACATCGTCCTCCTTCGACCGAGCATGTCATTCATGATCCTGCAAACGCCAAACCCACATTCTCTGCGAGAAGCGCTCCCCGATTTTTCTCGAACTACGCATGTCTTCCTCCCTATCAACGATTGTCGCAATGTCACGGAAGCAGAGGGAGGCACACACTGGTCATTATTATTGATTTCGATTGTGGACGGGATAGCGTTTCACTATGATTCGCTGCCACCGGGCAATTTCTGGGAAGCCCGGACGGTGACAATGAAATTCGCGGCACTACTTGGACGACCCATCAACTACGTTCATTTGGAGGATTCGCCAGTACAAGAGAACGGGAGCGACTGTGGCGTGTTCGTCTGTTTAAGCATGCGCCATTTGTTACTGAAGAGATTGCTTACTGCCAACGCCAATGAGAAGGTCAGCATGAGTCTTGGTGGGCGCAAGGTTGATGCTCGGTCGGGACGCAAGGAAATGGCCAAGATTATTGAAGGCTTCCGGAAGGAGGGCGAAAGACGAAGATCGTACGTGACTATTACTAATATTAAAGACTCGCCTGATCTAGTACTGACAATCAAGTGCAGAGCGAGTCTAAGCCCCCTTGGCAAGAAGTCGACCAGTCCTCCACGGATCGAATGATATCACGATCAATTGGAACAAGTCAGGGTCGGCGTCGGAAAGGTTTGTACATTGGGAATTGTTGATACCAGGTCTCGGATACTGCATACATAAGCCAGAGGGATTGATTTGGTTGTGCTGGGAACTCGGGCGTGATAGCGCCTTGGAAGCCCTTCTGGCTACGCATTCTTCTTGTATTGTCTCTGCTGTACTTGCGCTGTGTTATTGTTGTTCTTCTAGTTATTAGTTCGGGCAGCATTTCCTATTGATTGTTGCATTTTTATGTTATGATATGATATGGGGTAATGAGAGACGTGCATTTGACTATGATGGCTACCTTCAGTTCGTTGCATTCTAGCTTAAGCGCTGATTTTGATCATTTCCGACTCGCGTGTTTGTGTTTGGATGGACCAGTTACGTTACTGTGCCATGGTTGAATTAATATGTCTATTGTGGTGGTTTGTTTAGTATGTCTTGAATACTATATATATTACTACCATGTTCTTTAGTTTATATCATACAATACCACTCTGACCAAAGAGACACGCATGCGGATATATATACTGAGTAGAACTGTGAGCACATATGAAGTAACGATCTCTCATTCTGATTTCTGGAAATTGCTTTAGTCTACTGCAGCTAGCGCTTTAACACATCATACTGCTTCACAGCAGTCTCATACTTCCCATTTACTATGATCCATCTAATATCAACAGTAGTTTGACATTATCACTGCATTTCTCATGTTGATCTACTACTATAGAAATAACTTGTAAATGAACGCTTAGCCAACGGCCCATGAAACCACACCACTACTGGCAAACTACTACTACTATGCAATCTCCCAACCCTATATACTCCACCCTTATACTCAATGCTACACCATGATACCATGAAAATCGCCCACCAAGACAGCCATACCCATCTCCTAAGGTAGCTTGTTTACCCATCCTCTCCCATCCACTTTCCTTCTCACTTCGTCTTGTTATGGCTCATTACCTCATCCCACCCTGTCTCCCAGGAAACACGTTCCTTCCTTACATGAGACTCATGAATCTGTTGTAGTAAACGAAGTGGGCTGCCTCCACTATAGGGCTGTCGATCTACACACGCGGGATCGACGCCAACTGCTTTGACATGAGCTTGGCTTGACTTGGCCTGACATGTTGCTGTGCGTGCCCTATGTTAGGTATATCATGTAGGTGGGAGGATTGGTTAGTCGCCGTTGTGCTGCTTCTGGCTCTACTCCGTGAGCTTCCAGAGTCTCTATACAGAGCACTTCCTACCTACTCCTCGAGGAGGAGACCCGTTGCATGGTAACGGTCTGTTGTTCCCTCGTATGGTCCTTCCTAGATCGTAGTCATTGTCGTCGTTCGCTGGCACTCTACCATGGCAACGAGGTGTTCCTACCTTCTCTTGTATAGCGTTCCTTCTGCTTTCTGCTCATGAAGAGTAGTTGCCTCGACAGTAAATCCCCCCCAGTACATAATGGCCCTCTCCCCCCCCGACCCTCTCTCTTCTCTTCTCTTCCCTCCTCACACCGTTTGGTCCCTTGATGCTAGTACTGTGATTTATCACTTTGCGTTCCCTCAAGCCCATTCGTGTTTAGCTCGGCTTTTATAGCTTCTGCTTCCGCTGCCTTGTCCCTTTCTTTTCTTCCACCTCGCCTTCTCCTTACCCTTCTTATCCGTTTTTTGACCAGGTATTTCAGATGACTCACCTCTGGATACCTGGGTTGCCCTACAAGAAGGCTCCCGTAGCCGACCGGTTCAAGTCGAGTGCGCCATTTCTTTCGTTTCCCACGGCACACACGGCGCGCTTCGTCTTTCGCCGGAACTACGAGAACACCTCTTCCCGCTCCTTCCAGACAGTCTCGCCCCCCCGAACTGTCGTCCGCTCTCTCCTGCCAGTCTCGACTGGTGTCCGTTCCCTCCCCCGCAAGTCAGCTTCGCCTGACGTCCGTTCTTTTGCCCAGTTGCGACAGGGCTCGCAACTGCCGGTCTCCGTGAGACCATCCACTCCTTCCCCTGCTTCCCCACCTGTCCCAGCTGCCACTGGGGCAGGGCGTTCGCTAACAGGCTCCGTCCTTTCCTCTCGCTTGGAGGAAAGGCGGGCTTCTCGACAGGCACGCTCTCGGCCTTGGGCTGCTACACCCAAGGTCGAGGGGCACAAGAAGTCCCCCGAGGGACACCGGTCGACAACCCGCCCTTCCCCCCGAGTCGAACGAGCCTCTGGTCCGTACACCCGGGCTATTCGCAGCCCACATATGGCGGCACGTACTCGACGAGCGCTCAGGCGGATCGACGAGGTTCTTGCTAAGCCTGCCCTGGTCAAGGCTGGGGCGGGTGAACGTAAGGCCAAGTCCGTGAAGTCGGTTCGTTTCGGCGAGGACACCATCATCCCTGTGTCCTGTTGGATAGTTCGGCGCGAGCATGTCTTTCCTGCCCCACTGGCGGCCATGGGTCACCTGCAAGGTTGGAAAGTCACTCCTCGTGCGGAGCCAGACGAGGAGGGTGAGATGGAAAAGTACACCACATACTGGGGTTCAGACTCATATGTGATGCTTGACATCCACTCTGCCTCGGAGCCATGCGGACGTGACGGATGCCAATACCAGCGCCTGGCTAGCATTGCTGCCAGGAGGCCAGGCTGGGGTCCGGCCACGGTCTTCTTGGCTTGGAACATGCTGAGAGAGAAGGTCCGGCAACGTGGTGGATTCCGGCTGTGAGTCGTTCTCCTCCCCGTTCCTGTCACTCATTTTACCCTTCTCTACCCACATTCGTTTGTCTCCTTGACTTTCTTCAGTCGTCCTTTCATTCTCGCTTTTCCTTTGTCAGCGTCTGTTCTGGACTGGCTCTGGTCTGTTTTGGGGGAAACAGACCATCCAGGTTATGCTGATCGGGTAGCAGATGCTGGCGTGTATCCTGCTGTGGTATTGGTGGCGCATTATGCACCGAAGAGAGGTATGTCTGTCACCAGGGTGTGTGGGGCGAATACTGACGATTGAATAGGATTCTGGAGCGAGGGTTCCCTAACCACGAGGGGTAATGACGCAACCTTGTACGCAGGGTTTAAGTCGTAGTCCCTTACTCGGAGCGTCAGCAACCCGTTGTAGCTCCCGACGAACGAGACGGACGAACGAGACGGACGAACGAGACGGACGAGACGAGACGACGCCGAACGACGACCGACCGACGACGACACCGACGACGACACGACGACAACCGACGGAGCTACACCGGGCGGCTAATTACGCTTCACCGGAAGCGAAAGAAGGTATGTGTTTCTTCCAGTATAGATTAGTATATGCTAACTGATAATGTAGACGGAATATTCCCAATCATGCGGATGTACTGGGAGGGAATGTTTCGTCTTGGGTTGAGTTTGGTGGCTGGTGACGGAGAGGTTGGAGGTAAGCAGCTACTTGGGATGATGAAGAGGAAAGAAGCTAATGAATGAATAGATCAGGGAGATTGTTGATCAGGAGGATAGCTGGACTGAGTCCAAGCGGAGTGAAGTGGGATGGTATTGTTAGTAGATAGTTCAAAGACCATGGCATCATGGCACATTTGCTTGGGTTTATGGCGTTGGGTCACGGTTCATTATTATCTTTCTTTTGTTCATTTCATATGACCCGGGCGTTTGGTGTTGGTTTGGCTTTTTGTTTTTCATTTCCTTTTGTTTGTTTTATTGTTGATGAGCAGGGATTCCTGTCTCTAGTTTGCTGCTTCTTTTTTCTGGAATGGATCGTCATTGCTGTTCCATCAGTGTTCAGTGTAGAGCAGAAATTGTAGTTGTAGTTGGTGGAATGACTTCAGTGACTGAGTGGTGAGCAGTGTATTAAAGAGATAATCAAGTATGCAGCAACCCTAATGCAGACAATAAGATGCACCAATCAAGAACAGAACAGGACATGATAGAAAATAGCAACTCAACAAACACAGATCAATCAAAGAATGCAATAACCCAACGCAAACTCCTATCTCACTCATCCTCACCTACTCAACTCCAACCCCAACTGCCTTTCCAAAATCCCATAAATAAATAAACCAAAGAATGGAATAAGATTAAGCCATCAACTCATTCCACAAATCCGCCGCATCCTCCCCAACAAGCCCACTACTATTCACCTGCTCCTCAGCCGCATAGCACGCATCAATCGTCTCCTGGGGCGCATTACACGGACTAATCAACCGATTACACACAAAGTTCATCAAGGTATCGATGGTCGTGGAACTCCCGTGCTCGAAATCCACTTGGTTGTTCGTGATGAAACTCCATTCGGTTCGGCCGTCCAGGCCGTATTGCCAGGAGATGCTGGGGTCGGAACATTGCCCGTAGTCGGTACCACCGGTGTTGCCGTCGCCACCGGGGGTATCGGTGGGGCAGGTTGTTGTGTCTGTTGTGGTGGTTGTGGTTGTGACTGTGGCAGTCACTGTGGAGGCAGGGAGGGTAATTGTAGATGTAGATGCAGGGAGGGTTACAGTATCGGTATCTGTTTCTGTTTCTGTGATGGTAGCAGTAACAGTCGCAGTCAAAACATCCGTCTCGGTAATAGTCGGTCCCGGGATAATGATCGTGTCTGTGTCGGTGATGGTGAAGGAGACGGTATCTGTCGTTGTGGAGATTGATGTGGCTGTCTCTGTAGTGGTCACTGGGGGTTGAGTGATAGTGGATGTATCGGTGATAGTGGCAGTGATGATGTCCGACTCGGTTTCTGTCACTGTTGCTGTTGCTGTTGCGGTTGTGGTCGAGGTGATGGCTGGGCCGGGGATTGAGATTGTTGCTGTTTCTGTTGTGGTTTCTGTTGCTGTTGTTGTGACTGGACAGTCGGTTGGTGGAGGGACCAGGCCGGCTGTGTTGGATTCAGTGGTTGTGGTGGTCACGGTGATTACTTGGGTTGGGCTGGTGTATTGTTAATCTTGTAGATAATGATAGAGGTGAATTGGGGATGGGGGAAGCATACCCAGGCTCGATGGTCGTGATGGTGATGGTCTGCACGTCGTTGTCGTTGTCGCAGCCGTTGCCGTGGTGGTGGTCGTCATCATCGTCTTCATCATCAGAATCAGAGTCATCGTCGCTGTCACTATCGCTGTCGCTGTCGTCGTCGCTATCGCTATCCCAGTCATCGTCGCCATCATCATCACCCTGGTCTTTATGATGATGCTTATGACGGACTTGGTCTGTGATATCGTCATCATCATCATCGTCATCGTCATCCTTCCCGCCGTGGATGTTCATAGTACAGTCCTGACCATCGGCACAGGCGTCTGCATCAGGCACTTGCACGTCCACGTTCACGGCTGTAGGACGCGTCACGGCGAAGGGGAGGGCCTGGAGGAGTAGGAGGGGGAGTATCCAGGTTGTTTGGCGGACCATGGTGGTGGTTTAGTATATTCTTGTGGAGATGGACTGGATAGTATTGACAGAAGTAGATGCTATGGGCTGGATAGCTTCAATTGCGTTGCAATTGCTTGATAGGATACAGAAAGCTGGAGATATTGCATCCTGAACAAGGAAACCTTATACATCTTTATACTCATCCTCATCGCTACGGATATAATCCCCGGTAAGTAGCATATACTATCTCGATGCAGACCTAACGATGAAAGCAGGCTTCCTCAGTAAGTATGTCCTGAGGACAGTCACGAATGAGGCGATGAGAGTGAATTCGTCCATGCCAGAAGTATACGTACTATAATATCGAACTTCCAACATATTTCACTGGTAACACAAGATATCCCAAGAATAATATGAATATGATAAGTTGACGACCTCGTCAAGATTGACACACTCCAGAATTACTCAATAACAATCAAACAATGCCCTTTGTCACCCGCTTTCGCTGGTCCGGCCAGTTTTCTTATTGTAGGGTCGGCCCGTTTCCGGTCCACTGGCATTCCAGCCATGTCTTTAGGCATGTTGTCTTCCTTTCCCGGAACTGACCCGTACTCTTGAAGATGAACATACTAATACTTGAATCATATAAGACCTAGGATGTCCTCTGGAAACGGTTCATTCTTCTTTGTTTGTATCAAAGGGGAGATGCGGATGTTGAATCTTGCAATCACGCCTTGGCGGTTCCGGACGCGGATCATGATGTACTACGTATGCATGCATCGTTGGTATGCTATGCTATGCCGCCCCTTGGTCTTACTCCAGTTCGGCCCATCTGGAGTAGAATCTATGGTGTGGGTGCCGAGTCAAGTCTAGGGTAAGCTGGTTCTGAATCATGGTGATGTCTTGATCAGCGCTGGTGATGTAATATCCACTTCCTGACAGGATCCGCGACAGGCACGACGCTCTACGTCTTAGCGCCGAGATTAACTTCCCATACCACTGGGTCGGTGGATACACAGCACACCCAGCTTCATCTTGCCACTTCCAAGCACTCCGTATGTAGTCATCAGGTGTGCAGTAACTATTGCAGTAACTACTCAATACTTTCATTACTCGCTCCGCGCGCTGACAAGATCACAACTCGACCAGTTGGATGAGGCCGAAGATAGACAAACAAAGCGTAGGTACAATGGACGAGAACTCCTGTAGAGGAATTTATAGCCAGAAACCCGGAGCATCCCTCCGACAATAATCAGTTAACAAACAGTATAACAAACAGGAACCCCGAAACGCCGGCCAATGTGGAGAAATAGACAGAATGCAAAGCGGAAATTGTGTACACAGAGACAGACAGAAGAATAAGCACCCAAGGTTATAGAACGTTGAATCATGAGCCAGAGTGCCGAGCGTATAATCTATAAGAAGTATGAAAGGCCGAACCATGAGTGGAAAGGACAGTGCTAACATATGTACCAAGAGGACAGACAGGGTGCCAACGGAGGAACTTGCAATGGGGCCGCACGCCCAGACAATCCCATCACTTCTGATTGGGATAGACCCAGAGTCTAAGGCGGAGTAGGCGTTTGGCGGACTTCCTGCTCGTCAGACCGCTGCTTCTCGCGCGTGCGCATATACATTCCCTCCGACGGAGTTTCCGCTGCCGCAGAGGGATTTATCGAGCGGGGAATCGCCTGAGATAGTTGCTGCTGTTGCTGTGCGACAATCTCCCTCGCATAGAACTCCACAAGCATCGTCCCGTACGCTTCAAGCTCTTCAACAGGAATCGATAGGCGAAAGTCGTTCAACAGTAAGAATTGAAGTTCAAGGTGGTTGAGCTCAACCAGCGGCAGTCCGCCAACCTGTAAAGAGTTAGAGATCATAGTCTGATCGTATGATATGAGGAAGCCACCTTTGCATATCGAGAATTAGTGTAAAATACGTCCGAGAAGAATTTACTGGCACAAGTTACGCCTGCGATAACTAGCCGGTGAATGTTGAAACTATCAACAACGAAAAAGTGGGAGAACTGATCCTCATCCTCCTGTGGTTGGAGAGAGGGCGATATGGACGACGGACTGGACGGGTCTTGTGCTGCGATTCCCGACGAGGATGGCGGGGTTACCAACGGCGAGGCTTGTGTCGCATGTGTCGACGACCGCTCAGCCGACGATGGCCGTGAACTGTTGCCACTGGGCACGGTAGACGTGCCATCCCAGCGACGTCGTAACCGGTCGAGCTGGCCCTTATTGACCAGTTCCGTCATGCGATCGAAATATACCAGCAGACTGAGAAAGACCTCATACGTTGTAGGACAGTACTTGTGTATCCTTGTCAGATAGCTGAGAATACTGATGCTGGGCACGTTTTTGCCGTGGAATGCAAGCACACTGGTAGCTTGCGAGCTCAGAGTGGTGGTGCCATCCGGGGGCGGAATGTGTCGATGAACCGACTCGTGATGCAGGTCATTCGTCGTGGTAATTTTCATCAGCAGTCCAGCAACCATCTCGATTATGTCCGTGACCGGCATGGAACTAATCTCGTACTGGCGCTCTTGGCCCCACTGCCCGGGTACCTGATCCCTCTGCGCGAGGAACTCTTCGCTGGCAAAGCTTTGGATGTGTGACAAATCACGGACTTTGATCCGACTCGGAGAGTTCGCCTCGGAACCCCCCAAGGAGCGGAGGGACTGGAAGGTCGGCCTTAGCTGAGGCGAAGCTGGAGAGGACTGACTCCCCATATGCGGTGCCGAGGTTGGTACCGTTGTTGTTGATGTTGCATGGCTGCCACCAGTGTGATGAGAGGAAGAGTGTGCTGCAGGATGAAAAGCGGTGCCCGGGCGCGATGATGGATGGTGGGAGGTGGTAGAGGTCATTGAGGCTGATGGAGGATGAGTGTAGACGGATCCCGGAGTGGCAGAGGAGGCTCGCGTGGATGGTTGGGAACTGGGTTGAGAGGGCCGACTGATGTAGGCCGGTACATCATGGGTTGGGTGGGAGGGGAGGCGAGTAGAGCCGGCGGCGGAGGTTGACGGCGGGGCTGTGGATGAGGTGGGGGTGGTATTGGACGAGGCCGACCTAGAGCTCCCGGACTCCAGGTGTGACGAAGGGTGGTGAGAGGGCTGCTGATGAGTTGAGGACCGATACACTGATTCCGAAGAAGTGATGGCGCCTCCCAACATGTTGTAGGAGGTATCCATATAATCCGATCGCGGATGGTTAACGACGACCGATCCCATATCAGAGCCGACGGGTTTAGAGAGGTCAGACGCGGGTGCTTCTACTCGGTACAGAGCCGGCGGCCGAAAGTCAGCGATTACTTTGAAGACCAGTGATGAGGGGAAGGCCAAACAAGGAACAGATTCCTCCGTAAGGCATTGCAAGAGGGACAAAGCACCAGACAGCGAGAGGGGAATGGAGAGAGATA